CCACGCCGCCGCCCGGGCTCGCGCGCCCCCTGGAGGCGACCGGCGCTCGGTCCGTGTCTGTGCGGTGAGTCCCGTCCGTCTGTCCCTGTCCGTCTCCATCCGTCCCCATCCTCCGCCCGCAGGCCAAGTACAAGGCGCGCGAGGCGGCCCTGAAGGCGCAGTCCGAGAGGAAGCCGGGCGCCGAGCGCGAGGAGCGCGGCAAGCTGCCCGAGTCGCCCAAGCGGGCCGAGGAGATCTGGCAGCAGAGCGTCATTGGCGACTACCTGGCGCGCTTCAAGGTGGGCGGCAACAGGGTGCGGAAGCGGCCCGGCGCCCGCCACACGGGACCCCGCCTGACCCCCCGTGTACCCCCAGAACGACCGGGTGAAGGCCCTGAAGGCCATGGAGATGACCTGGAACAACATGGAGAAGAAGGAGAAGCTGATGTGGATCAAGAAGGCGGCCGAGGACCAGAAGCGCTACGAGGTGGGGGCTGGACCCCTTCCCGGCGCTCCCGCGTGAAGTGAGGGGGCGTCTCCGTAAAAGGGCGCCGACGGAGCAGCCTGGGGCGCCCGCTGCCGCCCAGCTCGGTTCAGAAGCCCACCGAGAGAACTGACCGTGTGCCTCTTTCCGGCTAAGGCCGGGGGTGGCAGTGGGGGTGGTGGGGTGACCTTCCCGTCTCCCTGCAGAGAGAGCTGAGTGAGATGCGGGCGCCCCCGGCCGCGGCCAACTCTTCCAAGAAGATGAAGTTCCAGGGAGAGCCCAAGAAGCCCCCGATGTGAGCCCAGGGCCGGGCGGGGGAGACGCCAGGGGCGGGGCGGGCTGGGGTCCTGACCCCCGCGCCCCCGTCCCCCCAGGAACGGTTACCAGAAGTTCTCCCAGGAGCTGCTGTCCAACGGGGAGCTGAACCACCTGCCGCTGAAGGAGCGCATGGTGGAGATCGGCAGCCGCTGGCAGCGCATCTCGCAGAGCCAGAAAGAGCACTACAAGAAGCTGGCGGAGGAGCAGCAGAAGCAGTACAAGGTGCACCTGGACCTGTGGGTCAAGGTGAGCGCCGCAGGGCGCAGCGCCTGCGGGGCCGGGCTGGGCAGGGGGTGCGGCTCAGGCCCGGCCGGGCTGGCGTGGTGGTGCGTGCCGGTGGTCCCAGCGCTCTGGCAGGCTGAGGCAGGAAGAGCACATGTTCAAGTTCAGTTTGGGCACCTTCCTGATTTAGTAAGATCCGGGGTACTTCAAAAAAGAGATAAAAATAAAGACGTGAAAGCACAGTAAGTAGAGAAGCCCAGGTCGGGGTGCTGTGTCCCGCGTCTGGGACCTGGCAGCTCCTAAGCTCCAGGTGTCCTCTGGGCCTGGGGTGAGCAGGCAGGCCTGCGAGGTAGGGGGAATCACCTGTGTCCCCTGGCCCCCAAGTAGCTGGGCCTGGTGTCCTGGGGCTTAGCTGTAGCACTGGGGCTCAGTGGGGTCCGTGGTGTCACTTCTGGGTCTCTGTGGGGTGACCCTGGGAACGGGCTCCCCTGGGCAGAGCAGTGGTCTCTGTTAGGGTGGCTTTGAGGAATCTGCAGACACCCAGGGCAGGGGAGACGGGAGGGGAGACGGGCCACAGTGCATACAGGGTGCCCCACCTCCGCTTCCTGTCTCCACAGAGCCTGTCTCCCCAGGACCGGGCGGCGTACAAGGAGTACATCTCCAACGTGAGTGGC